TTGGTCTGCACCCAACTGTATATGCATTGTACGTGTTTTAGCAGTGAAGCAGCAAATACCAGTTAACAAATATTGGTTTGACCAAATAGGGGATTAAATATGTAACCTCCATTAATTGATTTTACTAATTGACAATAGTACAAAAGCTTCCAAGGTCGATCTGAATTTTTAAGATAAACTGAACAACTGTTGAGCATAGAATTAATATTATTATACGGTCTATCTCATCAAATTACAAAATAGTCCAATGAAAGTGCGACGATAACTATCTACTTCATCAACAATTCTGGGAATCATTTTTCACAAAAATTTCTTTTTATCATTGTATTTGCTCACGAACATATTCATAGTCATAAACAACATTTATCAAAACAAAGTCATCCGGATACCTCCACAGATACAGTTAGCCTTTTCAAAGGCTAGAACAGTACATAATAAACTGAGTCTGCATCTTATAACTCCTACTTTCTTTGACTTTGATTTGATAATATCCTTCTGGGGTTTCAATAACATCATATTTCCCACCATTTATCAGTTCTTCAAGTGTATTACATTTTGTTGGAACTGGACATTTAACTTCAACTAATGTGTCACTATTTAAAATTCATCTGGACTACTAGAAACCCACTGTTCCTTTTTGTGTCATTAAGTTCAATATATTTGTTAAAAATAATAACATTTTCTACATGAACTAAAAAATGTAAGAGATACGTGATTACTATGTTCCTCTTGAATAATTACATGTACCAAAGGTGTACAAGTAAAACTTTTGTTGACAGTTGTTACCTATATATCGAACAGTTTGGATATAACTGAATTCTTAATAGCTGATCTGAATTCCACATTTGAGGAAAATAAAGGAGTGTCACGAATGCTTGGCACATAATCCTCATTTTCCATCACAGTTTCGCCAACCTTGGGCTTCTTAAATTTATATTGGAAAGTGCATTTGGTTCCACATTGCTTGTTGTCCATTGTGCACTTTCGTCAGTACAGGCAATCCCCGTTAGATTCCAAAGCTGAGCCCCAAAATGACAACATGAATGACATCGACCTGCTATACACAAACACCATCCATTTATCGCTGTGTCAACTTGCGTAGAATGTATAAACACACTCTCCATTCTCAATACTGTTTGAGAAGAACGGATTTCTGCCGTCATTAAATACGTATTGTCAGAGTAAACATAGTGAGTTATAACTCCGACATTTCCACTTTGAAAGTAATTGTATCTTTGTAGACTTTTGAAGTTCTTCAATTCTTGATCATCGACAGCTTTGACGAAATTAAACAGTTGTACACATTACCATACATCACATTTTGCCAAATCCTTCATATCGTCTATCCATGTTGTTATTTTATCTAAGCCTGGTGGATTCAGATCATTCATTTTCAATGAAATTGTGTTTGTTTTATCTTATGTTTACAATGTATCACGACTTTAATGGCGACCGGAACAATGATGAACCCATACCGCCACGTGCAATAGTTAAAATAGTGAATGCATAAATCATTTACATTATTTAGAAGTTTCCAATTAATTTGTCAGCAACACATACTTCAATGCACCAATCTTGGATGTGATTTGCATCACACGAAAAGGACAGAATAATAATCACACACCCAAAATCAGAAACTACTGTTTCGCTCATACATTTTCTAAGGTTTTTACCTTATACAAATGTAAAATGAAAGTATTGAAAACAACAAAAATAAATTTGAATAGAATTACATACTGTACAAACAATTCACTAAAACATGAGCAATATTGATAAACCATGTAGGTTGTCCATTCAACACATGACTGAGAAACAGTTGAAAGTAACAAAAATACCAAACTCCAAGGAAAATCAAAACTGAAAATTCCTTGTACATTGTATTTCACCTCTACCAATGATTTGAATGGTAGACATTATCCGAATACGTCACGAATTGTAACCGATTGTAACTATACATTATTTGCATCACTTCAGATTATCCCCATTACAAATATGCATGAATTGTGTTACACGATTATCTTTCTTATCCTGTACTAGCATTTAAGTGTTTTCATTCGTTTTTCAATGTTTTTTTCTTTCTTCTTTAGAATGAGATAGCAGTATATGATTTCAGTAATCTTAATATCTCAGAATGGCTTTTTGTTACAATTGAAAAGGAATTTTATCATTGTTTTCTTTTGTTGAAACTAAAGCTGGTTCTTCAGAATGAATTGTACTACACAAATGATGCAGGTTCAATATCAAATAACCATTGATTTTTGTTTTAAAAAAACAATATAGTAAAGTGATTGGAAGTTAGATAGCTTAGGAATAATTTCATCATTAAATGAATTCAAATTTAAAGACATTTCGTTGGCTAACATCCATAATTCTTTGTTTTCACTTTACGGTTAACATGTGTCAAGAACTTAATTGTTTGTTCACTTTATCATGTTTATAAGATATGTCAAAATACAATTTTTTTGGTAAATTGTTGTCACTGTTAGAAATCCGAACATTTGAAAAGTAAGAATAAATATGGTCGGCATTCTTGCCATTCCTGGTTATTTCACGCTTTTTTCGGTTATACAGCAAAAGTTTTATATGGGAAGTATGACTTCCAGCATTTAATTATACACAGTAGAAGAGAACAAGTAAGAAGATTCGAAGTGGTCATATACAATTCAAGTTGTTGACGGACATGTGATATTTTAAAAAATGAAAAAAAAATGAAAAGATAAACAACAGTTCCAAAAACATTAAAAAACAATGTTGAAAAATACAAATCCAACAGTTTTACCATTACATTAGTTTTCAATAAGACGAAACTTGAATATTTACAATTACGATTTATTAATCTACTAAAATGTCAATTTGAAACGAAATAACTAATTTTCAATTAAAAAAAACTGTTTACCTTTTTCCCAGACAATTTTGTTTATGCAGCATATGGAATGTGATATGACAACAAACAGACTACTCGAGAATAGGGCATGATCTTTCATTATATTTTTAGGTCAATTGCAGAAAAAAAATCGAATTACACTGGTATCCAATGTGCCAACAATTCCCTCATCAAGTCATTTTTATTTATTGCAAACTGCACATTTTTGCAAAGTTTTAAAATTTGCTTAAACTGCAACGAGATTAAGGAAAAAATGTAATGTTTTAAATGTAAAGTTTGAAATGTAACATTTAAATTGCATTATGTGTATGCCACATTTAAAAAATCACAAAAATCGCGATAATTGATCTCGCATGTTTCTCTATTTTTCACCAAAAGCAATAATACATGCAAGAAAAAAAAGACTTTTGTTGCTAGAAAGACATATTGATTTCTAATTGCCCTTTTTTTCAGTTATTTTACTATTTGTAAGCTGTGGTGTAGTTTTAGGTAAGTACATCTATTAGTCAATAAACAACAATACAATAACCTACTTATTTATTTGCCTAAATGTCAGTTGAATAAGAATGATTCAAACGAAAAGCATATTCTTGCATACTTAATTTGTAACAAAAAAAACTTTTACTTTATTACTGCTATAGTTCCTGTTAATGACAAATATGTCCCTGCTAATACTGGACAAATGTCAAGGATTATTCTTGCCGATTTTCCTTTGTTAGTTAAGCATACGCATGAATAGGAAACAGATTTATTATTTATAAATAATTATCTTAATACATTCTAGAATATATTGTGACAACTAGACTTATAATTAGAATTGTTTATTTCAATTTTTTCTTAATGTTTTTTTTTTTATTAAAGCATGCACATATATAATGCAGAAAGAATCATATTTCTATACAGTCATCAATAGAAAAATGTCAGAGGCTGTTTGATAATAATAAAACAGGTTTTGCAAGATTGTTTAAAATTATGAGTTTTAGTATAATTTGATTATATACTGATACTGTCTGTTTCCATCATATGTAACACGTTTAATACTTTCAAACATTTGTTAAATTTCGCACAAAACATAATTCTGGTATAGGTTTTCATCTTTTAAAATATCGCACGAAAGCATACTGTATAAACCTTGACAATATCTATATTGACAAGCTTTTAATTTGTCGTGAGAAATGCAGATACTCAAACAGCTATATCAACTATAATAAATATTTAGTAATACACTGATGAAAAGTCTTAGGTATGATATGATGATATGGCATTCGGAATCAGAAAAACAGGACTTTTATGTAAAATTTAACATATAATGTTATTGTAAAAGATACATGAGATAGTATGATATTGTATTCATGTATTCACCTTAGTCAGGATATGTCATTTGTGATTAACATGTGGTGCCAAAAACATGCACAATGTAATATAATTGTTTTTTCGGTCATATCAAGTTTGAGCAAATACCCATTTCAAAAGGAATATGCTATTGCCATTTTAATCAAATCAACACATTTTCATAGGAAAACAAGTATCCACAAACTCAATTATAACAGGGTAGTTGCATGGCATAATTGTCATTATCCTCATCCTATCTGCCTAAAAATAAAACCTGACGTAAAAATGCTCGTACAAACAGTTTCAAAAATGTAACAGGTTTTTGTCATGTCTGGATTTAGAGAAACTACATCTATTTGAACGATAGCAACAATTAATATCAGCCACTTTCACAACATTTTAACGTTATTTTAAGCGATATATATATATATGACGGAATACAATCAACGAAAGTCCCCTGTATGAATGTCACTAGAGATTACGAACTAAGGGTCTACGCACTTTGTCATTCAATTTGAACCTAACGAGCGGAATGGAAATTGCAATATTAAGGTTGATGCTTCAGCGTCTACTTGTCACGTAAATGGTCATCTTTTGAAATCCTTTTGTAGTACCTAGAATGTTGCAGTTTCGTGGATTGCGAGTGACTACAAACGAGATCTATCAATTTTCATTGTCATCCAGTCTTCGTGGTCTTCATTTTTTTGTATTCGATATCCTCTTTAAATAACAACGTCTAGGATATTTTTTTGTGAATATTATCGACGGTATGTGTCTATAAAAATTAGTTATATTCTCCATGCCAAGTTGGAAAGATTTTCCCTTTTATGTGGCAGTTGGCATGTGGGAAAATAAAGGAAATGATGTGTATCTTTGTCTATTATACATCCGGTCGGTGGCTTTCTTTGTATTTATCTAAATTATAAGTGCATAAATAAACGGAAAACCACTCATTAGTTGATTATACTGTCTATTTGGAGGTTTCGTGTTAAACGCTTACTGATATCTATTCCCCCCTAAAATGATAAAGGTTAAAACTCATTGAAATCTAGAAAACTGAAACATTTGTTTCAAATAACACGAAGTATGACAAAAAAGAAGACACTTGCATACACGTACTGAACGTTATCGCCCAATTACAAGCATAGATATCATGCGCTCGCAAATCCTAATGTGTTTCAAACGTATTTCGCTATTTAAACAGCATTGTCTTTATATATTATTTTTTATACTGACATGATTGATAAATTTTTTCTTAAATTTGTTTATATATTCGAGAATTTAAAGATATCACGGTTCCAACTCACTGTTAATCTACATGTACCTGACACTAAGGTTTGGTATACTTTGGATTTGTCTGAAAGATTCTAGATTATAACCATATAGTCGTTATAAAATGAGGTGAACATTTCATATATAAAGTAGTAGATAGCCTGTTCTAAATTAAAGCTTTGCATGAAAGAAATATATCCCGTAATTTTAGTTCAAAATTTTGCAACAGCAAATTTCAATGACACAATATGCTCATTTTCATTTCGGTACTGGCTCCTGGCTTTCGGTTTACCAGCAGAGGTATCGACCGTCTGGTAGTAATTACAATACCGGCACCAATTAAACTGCACAAGATATGCTTTTCGACCATAAATGTCTCTTCAGTGAGGTTCGAGGCAAGAATATTTGAAATTCCAAAACTTATTCAGACCTGATATAACAAAAAAGAATGCAGTTAAAGCCAAATCCTGACAAGTAATCATCGCTTTGCAAGATGGGGATAATTCCTAAATATTAGATAATTTTTAACATTTCGTAAAATTAAATTTGAATAACACAATATTCGTATTTAAAAAACATTGTGATATCAGGCGTTCCGAAAGGGTAATCAGTTCTGTAAAACTACTAGTAGCCGTCGTTTTGCACTTGCAGGTGAAAAGTCAGAGATAAGTAACATTGGCTTAAGTCACACTAGCGGAAGAGTGAACAGTATTGTGATAACACCTTCATGATTTTTTTGACTGTTTATGTCACAAATAACCACAAATATATTTGAATTGTCGTAACCACAATCTCTTTAGTTTTTCCACTATTACCACAACCAATGATTAGTATTTACAAATAAGTCACAACACGATGGAAACCAAACTTGGGCAGAATCTGCTGTCCATTTTGCCTGACAAATAACCACTGTCGTTAAGTTACGATACATACATTGTTGTCCAAGTCATAGGTTAGTGAACACGTGCTTTTTCGGTTCACAACGTTTTCATGGCCAATACCTCCCTTCTATTGATGGATACTGTCCAAGCATTATTCTTACTGATTTTTTTAGCATGCATATACATATTTTCTCAGGCACTTCCAAAAGACTTATTGTGTTTAGCCATGCCGACATATGTTATCCGAATATCTATATCTTCTAACGACAATATTAGCAATTGAACATGCAACCTCCTAAGATTAAATGATATATTATCCATAGATAATTAACTTTATGCATTCTACAAACATTAAGACAGACACATTTATAATAAGAATTGTTTATTACTATTTCCTTTTTTATTTTAAAAAAAGCATGTACATATCCGGAGCAGGAAAATTCATGTTTGTGCACAGACACCAATAGAAAAACGTCAGAGGCTGTTCAAATCAGTGAAGTGAAACCAAAATGTAAGTATTTGCATTGCCTTGAGTTTCGTTTAATCAACATTTCCGTTTATTTTCTTTAAACGGCGATTTTTGTTTTCACCGATAAAGAAAGTGGTATTAAAAGTATATTCAAAATTATAAGACTAAGAATAATTTGATTGTACACTGATGCTTTTTGCTTACATCATACATGTATGTAACACTTTTAATGATTTCAAGAATTTGTTAAATTTCGCACAAAAATATATTTCCATTAGTGAAGTTAAACGATACAATTTGGTTTTCATCAATTAAAAAGTCGTACGAAAGATTACCATATAAACCTTGAAAATATATATGCTGCAATACTTTCTAATTGTCGAAAGAAAAAAAGATAACCAAACAATTATTTCACTTATCAAAAATATTCGTTATACTCTGATAAAACGTCTTCGGTAGGATAGGATTATATGGCATTTAGAATCATAAAAAACAAGACACTTCCATTTAAAAAAAGCATTTGATTTTATTGTAAAAGATGGTATGATATTGTAGTCATGTATTCACCGTAGCTTGCTTAGTGAGGATATGTCACTTTTAATTCTCCTGTGGTGCAACACACATGCAAAATGTAAAATAATTGATTTTGGTCATATTAAATATAAGTAACTACCTTTTCTTGAAGGAATATGCTTCTGACATTTTAATCATATCAGCATGTTATCATAGGAAATATAGTATAGCATTTTTTTTTTCTGGTTAGGCTGTTTGATTTTATCGAAGTAATTATAAGAGGGTATCTGACTGGCATTGTTCTTATTCTCTCCGTCATATTTGCCTAATTTTTAAAAACTGATGAAAAAATGTACGTACGAAACAGTATTAAATAATGTCACATGCTTTCTGTCATGTCTTGTTTTATACAAAATACATATATGTGAACGACAAGAATTGTCAGTCACTTGTTCAACATTGAAACGTCCAAAAGATATATAGTTTATTGTTTTCTGTTTGGTATAATATTAAAAATTAAGATTCAATTTGTTACATCTAGTGATCGTTTATTTGGCAATCAAAACGGTATTTGGAAGGCCATATAATTTACTTCAATTTAGGATAGACTCTTGAATTTTAAAGAGTCGAAATAAGATGAACGGATCATATTAACCCGAAGGAAAATATAATACAAGCCCAAACGAAAAGATATAAACAACTCTAAATTGAAAACAACGTTCAAACCTATGATTGCGTTGGATAAAAACTGCAATTTTATACGTGTGCAAGTAAAACAAATTTCTTTGTAGAGGGGTCTAAATACAGCACAAACAACATTTTCCAAAAGATCAAAAAGTGAAAAGTATATTTTAACAAAACGCATTTGACTAACAGGTCGAACAACTGATGTTCTTAAACCCTGCTGACTGCCACATTGTATATATATAAGACGAAACACGATTAAAAATGAACCATTTTTTGTTCGGTTTCGAATTTAGTAGTTTATTCTGAAGCTTTTTGTAAAATTGATTCCTCCTTCTGACATTACTGATAACATACTTTTTTCTTAAACTTGTTGATGTATTTAAAAAAGGAAACATGTCACTGTCCTATTCACCGTTAAGCTACATGTACCTGACACTTTGGTTTGGTATACATTGGATTTGCCTGAAAGAGAGGCGAAAAATACCAAAGGAACATTCAACCTCATAAGTCGAAAATAAACTGACAACGCCATGGCTAAATAAGAAAAAGACCAATAGACAAATAATAGTACACAAAACCACAACATAGAAAACTAGAGACTGAGCAACATAAACCCCACCAAAAACTGGGGTTGATCTCAGGTGCTCCGGAAGGGTAAGCAGATCCTGCTCCACAAACGTTTCTAGATTATACACATAAAGTCGTTTTACAACATAGTGTACATTTCCACAGGTAAATTAGTACATATTATGTTTCAAATGTTTTGTGTTAATGCTTTTTGTAAATTATAGTCTTATGTTAGCGTAAGAGTCGAACTAACATTAAAACACTGGTATCTTTGATAATTTTTCCAAACCATGTTGTCTGCTCACGTTATTCAAAACACACTTGTTTTGCGCCCTACATTTTATCACGCAAGTTTGATTTTCTTTTTTCTGTTAATTCTTTATCATAATGAAATATGCTCAATGAATCTTTACTTTTTTGCAATCATAATTATATTAACTTTGTATCTTTTTGATACAGTAGTATGCAGTAATATAATAAATCTATTGTACAAAAATGTTGTACTTTATTACGCTAGCAACACATGTTTTTATTTAAGTCATTTTGTGTTTAGGTATTACTTTCATTTAAAACAATGTTTTGGTTTTTTTCGTCATTTAATTTCAGCTATGCACTATTACTAGCTTTTATACATCAACGGAATAAAAAAAGAGGGTTGAAAGCTATTAATAATTTTGCTTCAACCCAAAATACTCAAATACGGTCTTTTCTTACTAGTGGATAAAACATGTTCTTCTTGCAGACTGAGTTTGTTAATTCAAACGCCATATTAAATTTAAACTTAATTCTTAAGTATTCCAATTGATATGATTTTTCATTTATCTAGCGTCTATTGACATGATTGAGGAAGAATACTTCAACTGTACATATCAACTTGACAATATGGCAATACACTCAAAGGAATTAAAACCATATGCTCATTTGCACTTAATTAATTCACGTGAGTATGTTGACAATCATTTATTGCTAAAGCTTTACACTATATGGGCTTGTGCTGTCAGATTTAGCATACGTTTAATTGCATATACGAGCAAACGGGTTTCTAAAAGCTGATAGCAAAAACAGTCGTTTCTAATGACTTGCTGAGTTCAAAGGAAATAGGAGAAACAATATTTATATTTTATCAAGTAGGCTCCATTCTCAATTTTATGCCTATATTTTTTTCTGCTTTTGGAATATCGACACACATTTTGAGGAAAACTTACACATGTTATACAAATAAGTACTGTAACACATTCTTTTAATTTTTTTTTTTCAAAATAAAAATGAAAACAGACTCATACTAGAACAATACAATAAACAATACAGCAACCTTGTAAAGCTACTTACAACAAAATCCATTAATTTCAGCATAGTTTAACATGTGTCTCTTAAATATATTGAACTGTTCTTCAACTGGTTTTGGTTTCTATACATCCCTGGCTTTCAAATATTCGGCTATGAGCATTCCTGGTGAAGGTAAATCCAGAAAAGTGCTTCGCACGCATGCAATAATTTATAACGTGTTGTTTTTCATTTTCTACAGTACATTACTGTTAGAAAATTGTTGTCCATATGTCAACATATAATATATAATAATTTTCAGCAATATTGAGGTAGAGCTCCATATACCCATGGACACCATTCAGCCAGCGAATAACTGTCCGGTCTAGATCATGACTCAACAAGAAGTATAAGATAAGATAAACATACCAAATAGTTCTTTATCGAGTTGTCCTAAAGACGTTGCGCCAATGATCTTAAATAACATATCAGAATAACTGGTGTTCTCCTTAAATTGTGATTCACTCAGTCCAAACGGTGTGGGAAATTGACCAACATATTAAAACACACACAATTCACGATTGCGTACCCAAAAAAAGGCTATCAGTCCAAGGCTGTTCTCTTTTGGTCCATATTAATTTATAAGGTGATTTAAAAAATACTAATTAAACATCACATTATAACAAAAAATCAGTTTAGATTTCTGGTTTAAGATTACACTGTGTATCAAGCAATTAAAAACACAATAATATTTCCTTCATTTAATTGGTGAAAAACAATATTTCCTAAAAAATAGGAAGGAAGGATGTTGAATTTCCTCGAAAAGACGATTTGGTTTTGAAACACTCAACGTAATAGTTGGCCATAAATAAAAGTTAACGTTTTGAATAGGATCTGAATTGTCAGTTTTTGTTCTATATTTAAAGCAACTCTTCGTAAATTTTCACCTTTGAAGTAGATACTTGCTTGTTTTTGTTCTAATGAAAGATGTTAGATTGTCTTTTTTCTTTTTCGAGTGATGGCCTTTCGTTATACCTAAAACAGATTCGGACAGTTCACCAAAGAACTTATCATGACGGTTCTGCAAAAGTCCATATTTAAGGTAGAACTGTTTAGAACAGTTAAATGACAGCTTATTCGTACAGCTGTCAAGGCAGTTTAGAACTGACCCTAACTATATACTAGACATTTATACATATCTGATGATTTATGACTATTCTTTTTTAGATTGAAACCTCAAGATTTTAAAGCGTTTATCAGCTGATATTAGACTGATGTTAGGTGAAATAATTCCTCCAGCATCTGACTTATATTTTGATAAGTTTTAACAACAATAACACACACCTCTCGTTAAAACAATGTACATGTATCACTGTTCGCTAAACTAGAAAACAAGATTTGATATAGCTTGAATCTAACAAAGCGGTTAGATAAATCTGATTGTTGCAGTCTAACCTATACCATAAGACTTAAAATGTATCCTTTTTCACTATGTATTTTCAGGTGAACGTTTTTCATAATTCATGATACATACCTCGAGGTAATTGAACACTAACTAATGAAGTTAACTTAATTCTACGTGTGGACTTGACAATCAAAACTTATCAGAATGTTTAATTTGAAAACAAAACTCAGTTCAACTGTTGTCCATCTGAATATACAACTAAACCACTATTCCCTTTTTAAGTTAAATATTGATTCCTTAAACTGACCATTACAGATCGAATTACAGCAATCTTCTTCAAACATAAATTAGGAAAATAATCATAACAAACATAATATCAAACGAAGGCAAATAGGTTTCTAAAATTAATCAAGAACAAGGATAAAAAGATGGATTTTTGTCTCTCAATTGTCCCCATTTAAAAAAAAAGATCGAAAAAACAACACAAACATATACCATGATAATAACAACCAGTACACAAAAAGTACTTGTTTTAGAAAAATGTGGTGTAAGATTTCGAATATTAATGCGAACACTATCCTCCAAAGTCGATGTTGATAGAATAAAGGCTAAACAACCAGTACCACAGATTTTTAACGTGCTAGTTGACAAGGTAAATACTCCACACGAAGAAATCATATTTAACCCGGATACATTATTTTGCCTCCAAGTCAAGCAGTCTTGGTTGTAATTTCAAATGCCGCTTGATCAAGGGAGAATCGCTAACGCCAGTTTTCCATTCGTTGTTGTGACCGCTTGTGATCGTAACCACGACATCCTGAAACCGACTAGATCACCTCCCCCATTAGTCCACTTATCCAAAGCAAAGACGAAACAACAAAGATGCGAACTTAAAGAAAACATATTATTCACTAATTTGCCAAACCCATACCGTATAGTTAGCAATACGATGCATTTATATAAATAAGGTCAAATAATTCATGTGACATAACCTACAACCTGTTTTAGTGCGACAGTTAAGACAATCAAAACACATTAATCAAAGAAATCATAAAGTAACATTCTCCTGGCTTTGGACATGTATATACATAATGTGGAGGGGTTGAGCGTTTTAAGAGCGCTATGAATATCTTAATTTTGTTAAACCTTTGTCAATACACATTTTTATCAGAAGTTGCCAAAAATTTAAAGCACAGAAATAAAAAGAACAACAAATGTACACTGTTTACAATAAAAAAAAATGCCAGGCGAAAACACATGAATTATTTTGCCTTATACATGTACATCACTTTTTCTAATTTGATTTTTTTGGGTTATATTCATTACTTCTTTCAATTTAATATTATTTGGAAAAGCAATATACATTTGATCATTTTATTTAGTTTTTTCTAAAGCCATAAATGTTCAGCACATTAGATAATGCCATTCATGATAACAATCTTTTCAATCACATTGTTAAAATATTCTTTTATCTCTCTGAATTTGTGCGTAGCACAGTATCGTATGCACAGTAGAGTGCCAAAAATTCACTTAAGACATCTAGTTTATCTTCTAGTATATTGTTTGTGTTCAACCTAATATATGTTATCTATAAAAGACATCTTTCAAAAAGAGAGAAAAAACAAAAGTGATAAATTCGCCCCTTTCCGTAGTCCAATGCTGCTTTGAAAATAATCACATTTCTCATCATTGCATGACAGCATGATTGTATATAATCATACATATTATGAACAATCTTATACATATAACCATTAATATCATTTATTGGCTTTTTATAGAGCAATGCATCTCTTCTCACAGTGTCAAAATCGATATCGACAAAACCACAGAGCATTTTTATTCTTTTTTAATAACACCTATCCAGGAGCAGTTATGTAACAACAAAGAGTTTTGGACAAACTGAAAACAAGAGTTTTGGGTGTATTCAATAAAAGACAAAACTCAAATTATCAATTAAAAAATAGACGGGTGCAACTTGACGGGTGCCACATATGGAGCAGGATCTGCATACCCTTCCGGAGCACCTGATATCACCCCCTGTATTTGTTGTGGTTCGTGTTGTTCAGTTTTTAGTTTTCTATCTTGTGTTTTGTGTACTGTTGTTTGTCTGTTTTTTTTTTTTTTTCATTTTAGCCATGACATTGTCAGTTTATTTTCTAATTATGAGTGTTATTGTCCCATTGGTATCCTTTGCCTCTCTTTAAAATTCGAGCACTAACTTAAATCTAGTTTGAAGATCAATTTAACTAATAAATAAACTATGTTTGCAAGACAAACATGATAGTTTATACAAAGTCAACGGATTTATAATAAGGAACACAAGGAATGACAGGTATCTCCCTTTGGAACACGAATATCAATCCGAGTCCTTTACAGTTCATCATAGAAATGTTTAATCAATCTTGAGCATCCACAGTGATTTGATTTAAAAAACTTGAAACATCTTGAAACAATTTCTGGAGCAAAACAAGAAATTACCGGAGCACCCCGAGGGCAACTCGAAAAACATCTGGAGCAGATGTGAGCAACTCAAAAATTATCGGGAGCAGCGATGAACAGCTCAAAAACATCTTAGAAACAGCCTTGAAAAAATTTAAATCAAATGTTCACAAATAAGTGTCTTCAATAACTCTGACTGTTGACCAGTGAACTGAAAAGAATACAAAAGAACATATTGACGACTTATGATATAGCTGTATCCCATGACCTGATCTATAAAACAAAAACAAAAAACACTTTCCCTTGAATTGAAACAGATATGCAAATATGATTTGCAAACAAAAGGAGATGGAAAATATTTAGTTCACAAGATTATCAACGATACTACAAGACGTTTAAGGGAGCATGAAAATGAACAGCCTATTGAAACTTGGGATAATGCCGATGGAATAAAGCAACAAAATATATCGCAAATAAAAAACAGGATCAGCCTAGAAACATAATGAAAGTTCCTTAATTATCAGTCATAGCAAACTCTCAAACAGCAACAGCAGCAGCACAAATACACAATCATTGAACAGTAGCAGCAGCTGCACCAAACACCCTTAACCGTGATAAATGAGCACGATTGCAGCTCCAAAAGCGGCCAAAACCATTATAATATAACCTTAAATCCATTCCTAAGCAGCAGCAATACACAGCCTCGAACAGCAACTGCAGCAAAATCCATCAAAAATGATAGATGAGCACCATTTGAGTGACAAGAGCAGGCACACACCATTATCATATTACCATAAATTAATCCTCGAGCGGCAACAACAGCAGAAGAACTCCACCTTCAAGGCATTTCTAATTGTAAAAGGTGTGTCTCGTCCGTTTGTTAAATACTAGTTTATAGCTACAAAATGTGTTAAAACCAGAATCAACAATACCGAACTCTCGGGAAGCAGCAGCATTAGCAATTTCAAACCCTCGAGCAGCATTAGCATCAGCAACAGCAATACCCAATCATCAAGCAGAAGCAGCAGCAGCAACAAAAACCCTCAACGGAACACAATAAGTGTGACAGGAGCTCTGAAAGCAGTTAAAATCCATTTTAAACAAACCCACAAAAATAAATGGCGAAATTCTAAAGAAAACTGCAAAAATCGGACAAATCCTTTCAATAACCGAAAACAGGAAGCACAGTTATCTCCCTTTTACAGAATTAACAAACCTAATCCCTCTGGAATTGAATACTACATGTATACGTTTCGTGACCGAACTTGAAAACGCAGACCTTTTAGAAAGCACTGGAACCCTTGTTAAACGGTTTAGGATGGACAGAAATTTTCTGTAACAGCCATTCTAATTGATGTAATTTCTATTGAGTCTCAATGACATTCTGGTTCAGCTTTAATCCACTGTTTATCCTTTTTGCACCAAGTACCCTTAAAATCAAAAGTAAAAACCCGTAAACCATACACACCACCTACCCAGCCAATAGTTTTTGCACACAAAAATGGCAGGAAAATCCAAGGCCATTCCTTTCAAAATAGTGACAAAAAATAAAGACTTCCGTTCAAGCATGCGCAGTAATTCCTAAATGATGTCGGCATCCTTTTCGGTCAAATGACAATCGGCCACGCGTTTGCAAATCTCTTAATCTGTCAATGGTGTTATGATGTCATAATGCTTTCTTTTAGTAAATGACGTCACAATGCAATGATGGCAAAGCTCCATCCCTTGATCAACCAAAAAATAAAGCAAAATGAACTGTGCCTCTATACCACTACTTCATAAACACAAGCTCGAGTGAGCTTTTTAAATCGACCAAATAACAATATATACACATATACTACAGTGATGAAACAATTTCATTTTAAACATATAATTCCTTAAAAACTGTAGGTAATTAGTTTCTCTCATATTCGAGGAAAACTGCATGCAGAATAAAATATATCTTAATTTATAGCACAAGTTATAATATTAACACAGCAGACAACAAAAAGCTATACAAATCAAATCACTTAAATGCTGTTATGGTAAGGGTCAACACCAGATACATCTTACACTCCACCCGTACTACATATTTTTAACAGTAGACATGCATACCTTGTTGTTATATTTTCTTGAAATAAATATAGGTACGGCTATCGTGATTACGCTGTTTTAGGGAGAGATACATAGATTTGACATATACCTGATGAATTCACGATTGTTGGCATCTGTAAAAAGAATCGATATCTGATTAGTTTCAGATACTTATGATTCAATCAACAACCTGGTCATAAATGTTATTCAAGCGGCTCATCCATTACTAACTACATAGTAAGTCCCCCCCCCCCCCCCCAAAAAAAAAAAAAAAAGAAAAAACGCACAAGCATGGAAGGTCTGGCGCCAACAAACTAGTTTAACCCCGCCATATTCTGTATGTGCCTGTCCCAAGTCAGGAGCCTGTAATTTAATGGTTGTCGTTTGTTGCTCTGT